AAAGTCCAACTATGAGAAATGTTTGAGCTGATATATTACATCCACCATTTTAGGGGTCAAAACAAAACAAAACAAAAAACAAAACAACGTTGACTCCTTGAACTTCGCTTGATTAACGCAACGTAGAAGAAGAGCAACCGCCGAACAAGATTAACCGTGAGCTCACGCGCGCCCCCTTCATTGTGGCAGAGCATAACTATGGCGCGTTAGAGCAACGCCTCGCCTCGCGTCTTTTCCGTGGGACTGTATGTCAGATCTTTACACTAAATAAGTGATAGACATACGTGAAATACATTACCTATAATATGGTAAGCGAGGACATATAATAGAAATGTCTACAATGTATAAAAACATCTTAACACAGCATTACATTGGTGCGAGCTAAAGGCGCGCGCTCAGGCCTGCTTGCAAACTGACGTGAGGCAAAGCTCGGGCACGTGCAGATAGGGGCTTTGGCTGCTTGAGCACCTGCCCTTTTTTCGCTTGTCTAAAAAAAATAATAATGATTTTACAGACTACTGTGAGTATATAGTTCGAATTTAAACACTTAATGTTTAGCCTACTGTGACTTACTGTGTTGATTTGTTTGAAATGCGGTCTGTTGGCCAGCAGAGGGAGCAGTGGAGTTTCAGCCGCTCGCTAAACACACGGTCATATGGCAAGCCGTTTACACATTTAACCTGTAAACAGTGCTAGTATCTACCGTCTTGCTAGCATTACATATTTTCCCTAACTATTAGCATCTTATTTAGGGTTGCTACCAAACAGTTAGATGTAGTTTATATTCTGAATAGTGCATATTTTAGAGATGCTAATTGCTATTTACAAAATACTTACTAAGCACTTCAGCTACTAAGTTTAACATTACTTTTATTAATCTTTATTTGTATAGTGATTTTCTTTCTGTTTTAACAAATATGCCATTGGCTTATTGCAGATCCGTTTCAGTCAGATTTCTCACTAGAATTTCCCACAAACATATTGCAGTCAGTATTTGAATTAACCTGTTGTGGTAAATAATATGAACAAATCGCCCAATGTAGTTTTCTGTGACGGGTATATTAAATACTAAAGTTCAACATGGTTTACTGTTTTTCAGTTGCTATGGTATGCTGTAGAATTCATTAGTGTTGTAAATACGCTTTACTGTAGTATTTTTTTACATTCTTTTACATATTGTTTACTTGCTAGTGCTTAACCAATACTAGTGTTTATATGGCAAGCCATATCATCATCTAGCCTAAATATTATAGTATCAATTTTGCTACTAGCACATTTTAATTAGCTAGCAGCACCTTTAATATATATATATATATATATATATATATATATATATATATATATATATATATATATATATATATACATATATATACATACAAGAAATGAGCAAATATTATATTTCGTAAGAATTAAATGTTAAAACAGCTAGCTATGCTTCACACTTACAGTATAATTAAGAAGTGTAATTAGCATGTTTTTATTTACACATTATGCAATTACCCTATAAGATATGTTTTAAGAGAGATTCAGAACATTCATGATGAAACCGCTACATTTAGTTTCAGACTACATACATTTTATATAACCAATGTTGCAATCAGACATTCAGTATACGGTCAACCACATCGGGTATTTCAGGGATTTCCACTGACTTTCATTGTGAAATCACGGACAGTACATTTGTGTTTAGGGAACTAATGGTCATTATGATCACACCAAACCCCTGCTGTTCTCAATCAGGTCCTTTCCCTTACTATATCTGACATGTTTCCATTGATTCAGCATGCATATTAATACCCATTTTTTCATTATGGTTTTCCAGCACGTCTTCGTTATATGTCAGCATCCATAGCAGTGGACCACAAATCACGCAGGTTAGCATTTCACATGACATTCACTCACATGCTAAACCTTAAATATTTATACCTTCTTGTGTTACACCAAAATTTGTCATGACATAAGAGAGATGTGAACGTTTGTTTGTTGATTTATTCCTTTGTACAGACCACTATGCTCCGAATGCACAGACATGAGTAATAGTATCATATTATTTTTGTGGAGATTTTGAGCAAAAACTCTCATTTTCCCAGCACCTCCAGGCACATCTAAAGAAATGGTTCACGTATCATCTAGACAAAATAAGGTTTGGGGTTAAAAATGACCAATTCAGCCTGTTAAACCTACTACACCCACTTTCAAAGGTCTGAAAGTGGCATTACTGTTTTGTAACAAAATTGAGTTGCACAATCTTTCCTCCCTCTTGAAAGTTCGTAAAAGGACGATGGTGCACATGACCTCCATATATTTCTCATTTTGCTCATATTTCATCCAAAAAAATTTACTAAATTTGCCAAGAAAAAAGGCTGTAGCATTATAACAAAGCATTAGCCATGTGATAATTCATTTAGGCTATTCACCTTATTCTTAGCCGACGAGTGGGCGCAGCCATTTGAATCTTTTTGGCTCGAGACTTCCCGTCTCATTCACTTCCATTCATTTTTAGACATTAAAAACTTATCGTTTTGCTGTTTGACGTTGCAAACTGATATTTTCTTATTGTAAATTTCTACTTGGTCTGTGTAGTCATGCAAACATTTGTTTGTAGAGCAAGTAGTTTGACCGTTTTCTGCTGTTTATTATTCCTAGTCATTTCTCCCATGGGCGACTGAATCTGAAGTTCGAAAACAATCACGAAAACAGGCGCACTTCCGCATTTTAGAATAAGGTCAATATGTCATGTGCAAATGGATCATCCTGGCACAAATAAAAGAAAAAGGGTCAAAATGAACTATTGTATATCAGATTAATAACCACTTTCAACTCTTAGTTATCTAATAATAAACTAAAGATCTAGCAGCCTTCTGCACACTTATACGTTTATATTCATAACCAGGTCTACTCACTTTAGTCAAGGTTTACGATATGTAATTAAACCATAAAAACAGAGTTGATGTACTTTTGATCAGTAGGTTTTACGGTTAAAAGAGATGCAGAGATGACAACACTTCAACACTGACATTCTGCAGTGGTGTCCATCTATATATATATATATATAAAACACAAAACAAAACAAAACAGCTAAGAGGCCGATCACATTGAATGCGCTTTTACATCATTATAGTTTCTTAACCTTTCACAAACTCAACGGTTCTCCACTTTGGGGCGATCAATTCTATGTAACACACAAAAAAAAAAAAAAAAAAAAAAAAAAAAATCACTCGAATCAGGTGGATTCACTAAGATCGCCCCCTCCAGAGGTGAATCTCTAAACTGGTCTCGATTCAGTTTCATAAGTTTGTATGACTATTAGTGAGACATTTGTAAACGGAAAATAAACATTAGTTTCTTGTAGTCTTTTGTTGGCCTGATTAGAACAGCCCATGGAACAAACGATAAGCCTTGAAAATGTATAAAAGAAAACTATAAGTAAATACATGATATTTGATGGTATTAGATAAGCTAAGTGCATTTACAAGTTACAAAGTACATTTGTTTGAAAATCCAATTCTAATCCTTGAGTTTTTGTTGCATTTACACAGTTTTGACCAGCAGGTGTCTTTAGCATGTGCTGTTTGAACGCTTTGAAACAAGGTTCAATTGCTTCGAAGCTTTGAAAAGTCATTAGTTCAAAGTATTATTGGCTTGTGTACAACAGTCTGTTTACAGGCTCTGTGTGTGAATACCTTTAAGATTTATGCTGCGCATTTTTTTCAAACCATTCTGAAAGCAACCTGTCTTGCGTTTTTGACACGTTCTGTGTGAATGAGCCCTAAGAATGAATGTGTTAAGTTCACAAAATTGCAGGGTATCGCATATGGTTTAAAAGAAAGACTGCGAGGTTCTAGGCCAGGGATGGGCAAAGTCGGTCCTGGAGGGATAGAGGGCAGGTTCCATTTGGAAGGGCTCATCCCTATGCCCTAATCCCTTTGTAGGGTCCCTCTGAAAAAAATCTAAACATAGGGATAAGCCATTCCAAATTTAGTGCAGTGTGTAACACCAAACAGCTTCCCTGCTCAAAAAATCATGGCCGAAAGTGTCCATCAGCTGTATTTCTCAAAATCCTTCATTTCAAATGACCCTTCAAAGTGGCCAGTTTTGAGCACTTCGGTTTAGAATGACACTTCAATATGGCGACCTTGATTTTTGTTCACTCCGAAGTGCCCTTTGGAGGGAGGTAGATCTAGTTTAGAACGCACTGGGAGTTTAGCTTCAACCCTAATCAAATTCACCTGCCTGTAGATTTCTAGTGATCTTGAAAACATGGATAATCTTGTTCAGGTGTGTTTGAATAGTGTCAAAGCAAAACTCTGCAGGACAATGGTCCTCGAGGACCAAGTTTGCCAAGCCCTAATCTAGGGTGTAATTTGGAGCACTGTCTTGAACAACTTTACTTACACTAAATGACAGAACTCCGACATTACAACTAAATCTCTAAACTAAACTCTGAAAGGTTTTCCACACACTCCCCACCAAAAAAATCCCCATTCCTTAACTCTCACCCCATTCTGACTCCAAGCAGCTGGAGAAGTAATCATGGTCATGGTGATGGTCCCCTGGAGGAGAGCCCAGATCATCACCCTCCTCACGAGTCATAAGAAAAGAACGTTTTTCCAACTTAAAACTGAGACGTGACCAGGGAAGAGTCTATCCCATTGCACGATCCACCAAACATACTTATCTACTTAGTTTTACATGCAGAGATCTGATCCTCGGTGGAACATCTCTGACCGTTTATCATAACCTGATGAAAACTACAGGGAAGCAGCACTTTGGATCTTGATCGCGAATTCAATCCTTCCTTGAAACCTGAGCTTACAATGCTGCCTTCATGATGGCACGCTTTCATTCATACTCTACACTATAATATGTGAGAAAGTCAGCAAGCTAATGAAGAAGGCAAACACCTGACGAAGCTTCAAACCAATATTCCACAACCAATGATAACGAAAACCACATAATATTCACCCCGGTTACATCAAAAGGAAATGTGGCCTTGATCAGGAAAGAAGGCTTTATTAGTAAAACATTAAATCATGAAAGACCTTTTGTGTGCACCAGTGTGGTTTAATCTTCTTTAATCATCAGTCATGGCAATGCAAGGCTCCAATGAAGATGAAGAAACTCCCACGTTCATTCACATAAATGTCTAGCAGAAGACATCAATCACAGCTAAGCCAAAGCAGAGACAGATCATATTTATGGCATAGCATGGATTCTGACAGCTCCAAGATGACAAATTTAGGACTCCATTCTTAAAACTTGCTGACAAACCGCAATAATTGGCATCCGGATTGTTCTGGACGTAGAACTTTCGGATCTTTACTCTTCATAAATATAGACTACAGGCTTAGCTTCAGGTCGGAAACATGCAGCTGCAAGACTTCCGACTTTCGATTACAGTTTAAGTTTAATCCCAAAACGATATCGCTCGCTCGCTTTTATTGTTGGAGCAGAGATATTGATTCCTAATAAATATAGCAGATTACGTCAATTAGGTCTGTGTAGTTCAGGCAATGCAGGCAGTAACAGACAGTATGTGAGACCTTTGGAAAGAAGTTCAACAGCAGAATCTCGAAAGGACAGTTAAAAAAATTGGCAGGGAAGTTCAAGAACAAATGAACAATACATTTTAGAAATCAATGAAAAGAATATATATTTATATATTAACAAAAAAAAAAGACCTAGTTTTGTAATCCTAATACATGTTGACATCAAAATACAATGCATCACCTATGGTCTAAACATACTGTATTTTGATACATTGGGCGAGTCCCTCAATGAAAGTTTCTGAGCGAATGAGCGGGAGTCCATCTGGTCAGTCTCTCCCTGTACCTCCCTTTCTTGGAATGCTTGATATCCCCGTTCTATCCATCTCTCTGGAAGTGTAGTCCTTGTTATTATCTTGGTGTTTTTTCTACTGGGATCAGGAGGCAGCCAGAGCCTTGACCAGGTAGAGTTTGTCGCCCTGCTCACTGGTGAAGATGGGCGCCTTTTTGTAGTGTTCCACCAACTCCTCCATTGTGTTAAACTTGCGCTGTCCGATGCAGTACAGGTTGTCCTTCAGCTGGACTTTAAAATGCTTGTTTTTGGACTGAGCTTTCAGCGATATTGAAAAGTCATTGGGCTAGAAAAATAAAATGCAAGGAGAGAGGGACAAATTGTCAAATTAGACAAATTCGTTAAAGCAATAGTTGAAATATTAGCGGTTCGAAATGAGTGAACTGATAAGCCAGGAGAATCTAAGGGTACATTCACACAGCTATATGCTAAAAATGGAAAAAATACAGATGACAAAGTGTCACACTTTTAACGTGAAAAACAAGATCAAACCTTTTTTTCTAGTTTACACGGATCTGACTAAAAGTGCTGTATTATGCATGCCCTGCCAATTGTTTTCAATGTTGGTTAGTTTGTTAAGGCTTTTTTTCTAAGTTAGCATTTTTAGGGCTCTCCAAAAATCTCGTGTACATGAACAGCCAAACAAAGCGTTTAAATAATTGTTAAAATTGTGGGTGCAACTCAATCAACTCCCTAACTCCTGAGGTTTAGTAGGTCATTTAGTAGGTTTAGTGCAGGGGTGCCCAAACATTTCTTATCGAGTTACCAAACTAGATTGAGGCTAGTGGGTCATAGGTAAATATAGCTGCCATAATTACTTCCCAATTTAATAAATAGTATTTAAAAATAACTAAAACACATTGCTTTGTACTAACTAATGCAGTATACATTTATTTTCTGTTTTATAATGAACTTACTACAGTAAAACAGTCTCATTTATAACAGAATGGAGATACACTAGTCAGGCTGCACCTGATTTTGCCTTGATTTGCTCGCAGATGTCCTCTGCATTGTCCTCTATTTGTCGCATGATAGTAATTACATTTTTACAAAGTATTTATTTATGTTTTTATAATTAAACATTTAATTTTAGTTGGCTTTTTTGTAGCTCAGCATTAAAACAAACATTCACAAAAGATTACTTTAAACTAGAAATGACAATCTCTGTAAAAATCATTCGCCCCAACCCTGCCCATCATTCACACTCCTTTTTCTGATGGGATGGTGGGCCAAATCAAAGGTTACAAGGGCCAACTTTGGCTCGTGAGCCCTAGTTTGGGCATCTCTGGTTTAGTGGATTAGTAGGTTGTGGACACAAATTTGGCACTGGTAAGAAAAAATAAGAAGCTTGGTTCAGTTCACATTGGGAAACTGAACGTGCCATGAAAACCATCCTCGTTGTACAACATCAACACTGGAATTTATAAACAACATCAGAACTTCGCAAGAGGCACCATGAAAATCGTGGTGCTTTCTAAACAGAAGAATTTTGCAATAAAGAGTCTTAAATATGGGCTCTTCTGGGAATAAACTCCTAGATCATTGCCCTGACTACTGAACAAGAGATCTGATTGAGAAGCACCCTCTCATTCCAGGCACAAGGTAGAACTGACTAACAATTGAATGACGTGAGAATAGAAGTATAAAACTTCTGTCTACTTACCGAGGACTCGCTGTCCCGGATGAGGAAGTCTCCCTCTGAGCCCCTCTGGTTAAGCGCCACCTCTGCTTGGTGGCGTGTCACCTTCCCGTAGTACCACTGCTTTCCTGCGAAGCGGCCGCTGGATGAAGGCTCAATGTAGTCACAGTCAGGTGTGGGTGGCCCCGGCATGCTGGCCGAGTTGTGCGACTCCTGCAGAACAGTCACGTAGTTCTTCGGAACAAGTCCCATCTGCCCATCTGACTTACGACACTTCCACCACTCTGGGTCATTTTCTGGCTTCTCCACTACATCCATAACCTCCCCCTTCTCAAAGTTCAGCTCTTCATCGTTACCCGAGCTGAACGGGTAGAGTGCTTGTACTGTGTGCAGCACACGGTTGCCATTCGCACTTTGAACAACAGCAGACAGTTTGTCTGAAAGTCCAGCAGAATCATTGCTCGCTGATCCATCTGCGTCCTCTGTCACGTAGTTGGAAGGGAACCATCCCGAACGGCCGTTGTAGCTTCCCCTCCACCAGCCATCACTGCACTTCTCCATCACGATAACCCTCGTTCCTTTAACCAACGATAACTCATCTTCCCGCTCGGCCGCATAGCTGAACTTGACCAGCGCAGGGAGGTTAAGGTCATACAGACGTTCACCGTTGTCTGGGTAGAAATCAGAGTCTGCATTGGACGCTGTTTCACGCATGCCTGTTTTCCTTTTCACCTTTCCAATCCCTGCAAACATAAAAAGAGGTACAATTAAGTATTTCACTATTTAGTCCTTTCTTTGCACTCTACTTCTTGGGGTTTCAGCCTAAGATGTTTTCAATGCGTCTAAATAGGTCAGATGTTAACGTTGTGGAAATGAACATGGTGCATTTCCAATGTGGCAGTTGCTGTTCAAGTTTGTTTTATTTGCCATCAAATCATAATCTTTTTAGTAAATTTGTTGCTTCATTCTGGAATTGGCATAAAGGGTACACCTCTGTGAAGAAAACTCCAGGTACTACTTGTCGAAAGTGGGCAAAACAAGGTAGGGCTGTGCAATTAATCAAAAATCTGATTTTGATTTTGCCTTCTAACGATTATGAAAAACCATTAATCAAGATGAACAATTATTCCATCATATCCAGCTACCATAAGTAATCGCTACCTACTGCCTTCTGTTTTTATTATCAATAAAAAACAAAAGGACAAAATCCCTCACTGCTCTTGACTGAAGGACTTTTGTAGCTAAAGTGTTTTTCTTACTGTGAAGATGCTTAAAGCACAGTTTAAACATAACAGATTTAATAACTCATTTCTAATAACTAATTTCTTATATCTTTGCTATGATGACAGTACATGATATTAGACTAGATAATCTGAAGATACTAGTATTCAGCCTAAAGTGACATTCAAAGGCTTAATTAGGGTAAATAGGCAAGTCAATATATAACAGGAGTTTCCTCTGCAGACAATTAAAAATATGAATTGCTTAAGGAGGTTAAAAATAGAGCTATTAAAATAGGTTTCCAAAATTTAAACCTGATTTTTTCTAGCTGAAATAAAACAAATAAGCCTTTCTTGAGAAGAAAAAATATTATAGGAAATACTGTAATTTTAATTTATATATAAAAATAAATTCACAGGAGTGTGAATAATTTTGACTTCAACTGATAACCGTTTTGAATAATCGTGATTATGATTTTTCCCAAAATCGAGCAGCCCTAAAACAAGGTACAAGACAGTGTAATGTTTACCTGCTTCATTGTAAATTTTACTATTGCCTCTAATAGTTGACTACAAGAGTTCCTTTTATAGCAACCAAAAGCTCATTATGACGCTAGCAATCCAATCGCTTTGGACAATCTCAATAATCATTTGCAAATAAGCACCATTTCCATCCAGGGAGACAAAGAGAAAAAATTGGTCACTTCCTGATACACTGGCGTTAAATATCAGAGTTTTCTGCAGTAGGAGAAGCCACTGTGGCCCTGTTTTTCTTATATAATGAACTACTTCCAACTCAGTAGATGAAACTCACTGATTGCAAATTTCACTTAATAGCAACACGTTTAACTAAAGTCATTTTTCAATGAAAACTATGTTGAGACAGTCTCTTCAGGGAGTAATTTCATCACTCCGCACCCTGCACTCATTCCATTCTTGTCGAAATGATCTGTGAAACCAAAGAGCATTGTATTTTGATACAGGCACCAACAGGCAGGGCATGAGTAAAAGGAGAACTTGTCCAAACACATGTTACAGTGCGGCGAGGCTTGTGCGTTCACACTGACAGGGGTACACAGTAGCTATCAGCTCCCGTCTGCTCGAGCAATGAGTCCTCTCTTAGTAAACATGGGCACTGGTCCAGTTTCAAAACCAGCCAATCACAAACATCATTCCAGCACTCATCAGATTATGCTCAGGATTTTGGTCTTCCTCCTTGAGTATAGACTTGATTCAATTATCTCCAAATGAACAGGTGTTAACAAAAAGCTTTAAGACAATCTTAAAAAAAAGTTGGCACCATGATACAAGGGTGCAGGTTTTTGTCTCAGAATTTGACCAAATGGCTCAATCATTCGAAAGACACAGCTGTGCGAGCCAGATGTATTATTCAGTGAACAGTACAATTAGGAGTCACTGGAATGATTACCACACCCAACGTCCTCCTCCATGGGGAGGGAAAGAGCGAGGGAGTGTTGGGTTATGTTCATGGACACTGTCGAGGATTCCGACTTGTCTGACCACATTAGGTCAAGCCAAATGGGCTGGTATGAAGGATTAATGGAGAGTATCTGACCCCAAGGCCTTTCAACCATGTTGGAGGTTTTGGCAAAGGTTTGTGAATAGTGTTACCGTAGAGGAATGTCCGCTTGGCAGTTAAGTTTGTACTAGCCCAATCCAAAGGCCCAAAGACAGATAAACACCCTCTCTTCTCTCTTTACATACCATACAAAAATGCACTGCAGCAACAAAATGATGGTATTAGATGGTAATACCATGATCTTAACATAACTCATATACTGAAAACAGTTTAATCTAATCTAAGGGGATTTGCTTTAAGTGTCCCATCAAATAATCAGGTCAGACATTTTTTATTAGAAGCAGTTTGGTGGCTAACTCGAGGGCTCTTCTTTTTTATACTCGGTTTCATTATTTTTGCTCAGCCAAATACCTCTTTTAAATGATTAAAGTACAATTAACTTGTGGAACGTTACCAAACTTGTGGAAATTACTAATATTACAACTCTAGAGAGATTTGTTGACTGCTTTTCCAAGCTACTATTAAAGTCTGTGTGAAATCAAAATGTATAATATTTATTTTGCTAGCACAGCTTTTTCTTCAGGTCGACAATTACCGGCAACACAATATATTGGTAATCTTCAATCAAAGCCTAACCATTCGGACCATTTCCACATTTGGAGTGGTAGTCCTCCTCTGTTGACATTAGTTTGACAGCTTTAATACTCTTTAGCCACGTCACTCTTAAGGCTGGTTTATGCTTAGCATTGAGTGATCGGCGTGACCCACTGAGCCTGCCTTGCATTTATACTTCTGCATGCTGTTTGTGTTGCTCAGCAATAACACTTCAGAAATGCTAGCTGGCAGTCAGATTTTAATATTCCACTTTGTCAAGTTTCTTCGCGAGCGTTTTATTTTTTCTGAGCGCTACTTTAATGTAAAAGCAACTTGCTCATTTAGAGGTGAAAACCGGCAGACGAGCAACAACATTAATCATAAGGTAAACACAAAACAACAGCTTTTATCTAGAGCTACTTCACATGACCCATCACTTGTAAACCCTCGCTCTAACAGGTTTGTGCGGCTCTCGGTCTGGTTACAGCTACCAAGCTGACCAATAAAAGAGCTTGTGCTATGCCTCGTTCTGCAGTGTAGTTGCATTTTTCTGAGAGGTGCGCATCAGTGTTGGCGTCAGCCACGGCGAAGGGTGTGCGACCATGTGTAGGCTGCTCCTAAAGCATACTTGGCGCTTGACGCAGAAGTATAAATCAGCCTTTACTGTTAGTTTGTTACAAGAAAAGGATGCACGAAAAACAAAGTCCACCCCCTCCTCAATGTTCTATTTAAGTCTTAAGTATATCAACATACTGAAATAAAACTCTGATCAACTTACGGTTCACAAGGACTTAATAATGGTAAAGGAGAGAGTGATTTTTGGTTGCTCAGCAATGGGAAAGCAATCTTCTGAGTGCTTTGAAAATCGAAAACTTGGATGTGTCCAAATATCCAGGTTAATAACAAATTGCCAACACAGTACTAAGCTAGTATTACTTTTCTGATCATGGTTTCAGTGAAACAAACTGTATTTGTGATTAAAATGACTCATTACATGTGTTAATTAAATTTTAACAGCGTCATTAATGTTTAATGACATTTTAATGAAAATTAAACTTAAGATGTAAAACAAAATACATATACTAATGACGCTGTTTTTTAATTCATAACATTTTTATAACAGTTTCTTGACAATCATGTTTATGACAGATTTATGACAAGTTTTGTTGTCTTGGTAATGTCAAGTTCTCATAACAAGGACTGTGACGTAGTTGTCATAAACAGTGTCATCTTTGCATTAAAAATGTTAATGACAGTTGTTATAAGCATGCATAACATCATAAGTCATGCTTCTAAAGCTTTAATGAAAGTCGTATGAAGACCACTTCAATTAAAGTGTTATCAAAACTTTGCATCTTGCCCACTTTCTACCCACAAGCTGAGGCAGTCGAAAACCTATCTTATCCAATTGCTTTCATAGTGTAAAACCCCATACAAATATGATCGAATGCATTTGTAAAAGCACACAAGGACAACGACTGACAGAACATGCGATTGTTAATACAGCCGTCAACACAGTACTAAGCCCGAAAATTGATGAAATGTTCCTTCCAGTTGAATCTATGGACATCCAGCCTTCACGTTTGAACCTCAAATTCCCGTAGGCAGTTTTCAAAAAGAAAAATACCTAGCAGATGTAATTTAACAATACCTGACAAGTGAGAAGCAGGTGAAAACCTTGCCTGATCTGAAAGGAAATCACCCAATTTACTTTACGCTTACTCAGAGGCCAAAGGTTAACTGAGTGAGAACACACAGCTTTTCCAACTGCTTTTTTTTTGTTGTTGTTGCTCCAAGCGAGATGCTTATCAAAGTTTAAGGACAGAGGAATTTACTCTGATGCCTCTGCTGCCTGATTTGCATTAGAAATACATGAAATCCCAAACCAAGATATTTGCCTGTGGCCCCTAAGCTACACTATGTCAGATTGAGAGAGACACACACATTTGCATGGTCAATGTGAGCAGGAAGTCAACCAGCAATAGTAACTGGAGCATTTAGTGCCCCATTTGGTGGACGTGTCGGTGCATGCAACCGCGGGTGTGTGAACTTTGACAGCACAAGTTCATAATGCACTTCTTAAAGGGACAGTTCACACACAATGTAAACTCCATTATAATTCTTGATGTAGTTTAAAGACAATTCCTTCATTTGAGATTAATGAACGCATCAATATTGAGATTGACCAATTCAAGAAACAGTCACTGTGAACCAGATATCTATAATCTAATGCGTGTCTATTAATCACCCAAACATTTCAGATGGCTTCACACAACTTAGCATATGGATAGAGACTGGTTGGAATTTTTTATAGGGTTTTTATGTTCTTATCGATAGCCTCTGTGTATATTTTTATTAAAAACAGCGGTCAGAACAACTATTTAGTTTA